TATATATATATATATATGATAAGAAATACATGAGAAGAGAGAAGAAGAGAAAGAGAGAAAATAAAATTATGAAAAATTTTAATAATTTTAATAAAATTATTAGATAAGTGAATTACATGTATTTTATAAATAAAAAAGTCATTAAAATTATCTTTTGGTACATCACCCACTGATATTCCACTTATGGGCGATTGCCAAACAATCCTGATAACATTAATTGTTCATTTTAATTTTCTCCTAACATTTGTATCATTCTGTTTTGTAAAAGAAAAAAGGTTACTCGATGTAAACTTTATTCATTATCTAATTGATGTAAACTTTATTCATTATCTAATTAATTAAACGGTTAATCACAAGAGACTCTTGCTTAGAAAGTTGTGCATCACTATACTATAGTATTAGTAAGACATTTACCCTGAAACAAAAAGAGAAAATAAAATACATAATGCATCAAAGGCTAAGTAGAGTTATTTAACTCATTTGTTAATGGCCAATTCGCAATGTTTTTTCCTATTAGAAAAGGGTTGGGTTTGTTTTCAGCCTATATTTGTTCAGGGAACTTCCCCTCTTCTCTCTCTTTATCCCATTCAGCAATCTGCAAAATATAAAATAAAATTAACCGGCCATGACTTAAAATACGTGTCAACACTAGAGTTTTTTGATTCTCAGTCCACAATGATCCAAGAAAAAGTGTTTTTATTAATTAATATAAGTTGAGAAAAAATGTTTTTAGTTGGGATTTGTTCTAACTCACCCATTCGGTTGGACAGAAAGACCTTAAATGTATGCCAAGTTTTTCGCATTCTGCTGCTTTCTCGCCCTTCTGCGTAATGCATCTGATTGCACCACACAATCTACTGAATAAGAATTGGTTTTAAATTATGATTCTAAGTGTGACAAAAACATGTTCACTTACCTCTCATACTCCACATATTTTACATAACAATGTCGCATTTTATAATCACTACTACTACTGTCTGTTGTTTGCAGCTTTTCCTCCTCTTTCTGCACAAACATAGTTTGTACATAAAAACTTTTGTATCAGCTGGTATCCATTTTAGAAACTGACAGGTGCACATAAATTTTTTAAGCTAAGTCACTAAGTGTTGCATTAATATACCTTGTTGTTGGCTGAAGAGGTTGGAGGGGGTGGAGAAACGGTGCCGTATTGGTGAGCTGGCCTTGGAGCTTGTTCACCTCGCGCCACTTTGTTAACGTCCCTGGCTCTCATCTTGTCATGCGGATCCACCTGCGCTGAAGACATGTTTCTTCTATGATCTCTGTCTAGTGCTTTTGCATTTCAACAATGATAAAACTAAACAAACACAGCATAAGCATATGCACCTTAGTCTTCAACTTTAACGTATATAGGTGTTAAGTAATGCACAACTTGTCTACTTAATTTCTAGGTTCTCTAATAATGACACGTGGCACTGTAATGACACCTGGCTTTTTTCGCAGGCTACTCGTGTCAACACTCAACACTGAGTGTCAGCCATTACTTTACCACACAAGAATAATATTATTGTAACTTTGAGCCTTTACAATAACTTAGTGCATATCTGGATTCACGTAACCGATCTACGTTTTAACCCGATTTGACGCGGAAGTAAAAATTTATAGCATCTTGGTGTTGTTTACGCGATTTAAGCCGGGAAACGTGAAACCAATCACACAGTTAGACGGCTGCCATGATCTTAATTTTCTTCATTTTCCTACCCAATAGTGTTTATGTTTTAAAATATTTTTTCCTTTTCTCTTTTAGATAAATATCACTACTCAAATAAAGTAATTGACGAGTTGAGCATTTTTGTTTTTGAAAACAAAATCAGCTCATGAAAATAGTGTACATCTCTTTTTATAGCTTTATTGTACGGTGAATAATGTATTTTCTTTAGATGATTTATATTAAAACCAGTTTTAAAATATTTTTTAAAACAAGGCAAGTAAAATTTTGATGTCATCTTAATACATTGCATGGTGATAGCTATGGATTGAATTTAAGTTTAAATATATTTTTAATTTTTTAAATTTAGATTAAATTTACTTTTATTTTTAAATTAAAATTAATCTTTTAATTTTTATAATATCAAAAGATATTATTTTAATCATAGAGACATAAATAACATATTTAATAATGATCGATCAAAATAAATATGCAATTTCAGTTAAATTTTATGTGATTTTTTACTAATAAAAATGTTAATAGAGGTGTTAGTAAGTGAATTTTGAGCAATAATTTTTCACAAGTTTATTAGTGAAAGTAGAGTATAAGGAGAATTTTTTAAAAATTAATTGAATTAAAAAAATAAATTTTAAATTTAAAGGATAAAAAAAATATCCTAAATTTAAAACATATTTATGCGAATAATTTATTCTCTTAAGAAAAAGGCTAAACTTTAGGTACGGTAGAATACGGTAACCTTTAAGGGGACAGTTGGTGAAGTTGGGCCAAAACCAACGTTAGGCCCGAAAGCCATACATTGAACTTTCCTGTCTGTGACTTAGTCTTTTTGCAAATTTTCCTCCCTAACACACCTCTGTGTGTATTTAAAAAAAAAAAAACTTTTTTCTTCTAAAAATATATTCGTACATTTGATTATATTCAACACTTTAGAAATAAATTTTTTAAAAATTTATATTTTTTTAATTTAATTTAAAAATATATATTTTACTTCACGAATTAATTAAAAATGCTGCAAATTTTTACTTATAGATTATTATTGTCACATAAATAATGACATAATTAAAATCATTGAAAAAATAAAACAAGGGACTCAAATATTACACGATTCAAAAGTAGAGTCCAAAATTAATATAAATCAAACACAAAATGGTGCATAAGTAAAATATAAATCTCACATAAAAAATACTCATTCCGAATCAAATTTTTTGTAAACTTTTGCAAACCTCTTAAGAAATACTTAATAATTTATATATTGAGTCTAAAATACTCTCATTAAATATCTTTGAGTATGTAAAATAAAAAAATTTATAATTATGCAATAAAATATTAATTATCAAAAAAAGTATATATATAAAATAATTAATATCACTTGAAATATATAAAACTTAAAAGATTTTAGAACAAGAGAAAAAGTATGAAACATTTTAAAAATATATGATATTGAGGAAATATATATTAGTTACAAGACTTTCTCTTTTGATAAAACTTAGCCATAACAACTAAATTAATTGCGTACATTTAGATATCCAACTAATTTTGATTGATTTTGATAAGAAAAACTTATTTTTGATCCGGTACGAATTTTCTCTAACTTGAAAATTTGATTTCGAGTATATAAATCTCCGCCTTGCCCTACTGACCTTTTTTTTTTTTTTTTTACAGCAAAAAAATATGTATATAA